ATTACACAAAATAATGAAAGCCCAACAATGGTGTTGCCATATTGTGCAAACCAGTTGAGGAAAGATTTATCAAAATTCACAGAAACCCAGAAATCCTAAAGTTCACTACCAAGCTATCAGTATGTTTCAGGGTATATAATTCATTTTTTATTTATTGACAGATTTTTCTTTAATAAGATTTTTCGTATATACAGGCTGGCTCACAAAAATAAATGGTGCACCTACTCAAATATGAGTATCCACTAGTGTGTGTGTATATATATATATATGTGAAAAACAGCTAGTAGATAGCAAATGATTAACTACGGTAAATATAATTTTAAATTTAAAAACACATGATTATTTGTCTTTTTAATTGTTGTGAGGAACTTGTGAGATTGACAGTTGTAATTGCAGAATTTAAATATGAAAGTTAGCAATGCATAAATATGCATTTAAAAATAAATGTTCTGCATTCAATGCAATCATTCAAGTTCTATAAAATGCAAAGAGCAGCTATTCAGTCAGTCCAAGCCAAGGTTGAAAAACAAGACTTGGTTCTTGCAAGTTCTAGAAAATCTCAATAGAGGCCTTTGCTATCTGAACCAGCTATCATAAATGGGCCCGAAATTATTACACCCTCGTGTGACATGGAAAGGCTCTGTGCAATGAATTTTTATTTGACTTCACCCTCCTCACAGAGTACAAATTTTGTAACATCTGTTAAGGCATAGTTAACAGAATTATAAGTTTCCAGAATTATCAAAATCCTTGACTTTAAGAATAGGTATTCCAAATTTCCAATATATCTAAAAAGCTTAATACAGGCATGGAGATCTTGGGGAGAAAAAAAAAAAAAAAAAAAAATTGGTTGCTCAATTAGTTATGACCATTCAAAGTTCATGAAAACTTTAACAATTTTAACACCGTATAACTGAAGATACAGGCTTCAGACAAGTTAACAATCATAAATATATTGTCATATCAGTGGTCTTGAAGTAAAAGAAAGATAATGCTAATAGAACCAATAATTCTTAGATCAGACCAGTATAAACATTGGGAGAATTTCATTCTCAAAAACAAAACCGTAAAATAAAACAAAGATTGATCATATAAGTTTCATTTCAACAATTAATACCTTGCAACTTCACCCTATACTTCATAGCACAACAGAGATTAAGAAAAAATTGTTTTCTCAGTAGTACTACAATAACAAAAACTATATTTACATCAGATAATAACATCCAGAAATGCAATCTGACAAGATAAAAAACAGGTCAAAAGCATACCACCCTGAACTTGCCATAAAGAAAGTATTCATTGGAGGTACATGCCTAAAACTTGGAAATTTTACTAAATTTGGGATGAGGAATTCAACAAAACAGATCTTTTCACTGTTTTTTTTTTTTTTTTTTGAAATTTTGTAATTTTCAACACCTCAAAAACAGGACAGTAATGACTACAATACTTGGAAATTTGTTTTACAAAAAGAAAAACACTTTACAACGGTGCTTAAACTTATTCAGTTTTAAACCAATAGAAAAGACTTTCTGAACATTGTGAATGGCTCTGGCACTTACTCTTCTATTGGCGATTTGCTGACTGAATTTCCTTAGAAACTTCTGATATGGCTAGTATTTCTTGAACATTCCATATCCAGCCATCAGAACAAAGTTCTATCTGAAGACATGTTGATTTCACTTGTTCAATATCAGCTGACAAAGGCCATTGGAAATAATCATTTCTGCTCTTTGTTGGTGCTAAAAACTATCAGACCAATAAATGGAGATACTATATCATTGACTTGGGTCAATGTAAAAGTTGGAGTCATAATATACTGAAACCCAATTGGCATTGGTGCACACGACTGAAGGTCACCAGATGTGGTTTCTTCATTACAACTAATAGAGTTGTTTAAATAATCAGAATCACCAAATGCCTTTTCTTCTTTCTTTTGTCTTAAGTCAACTGAAGAATTACTTTCACTGCTTCTAAACTACTGCTTTCTGTACATCTTTAATAGTCTTCACAGGACCCACCATGGTTGATGATTGTGATTCTCAGTTTCTCAGCTAGTTGACATTCTTCTTTTGCCACTCATTTTTAGCATTCCTTTCTTGTACATGAAATTTCAGAAGTGATTTTTGTTTCTTATGTCTTTGTTGCAGATGCTTCACATGCCTTTTTTGAAATACCAAGAAGTGATTGCCACTCAGTTGTTTACTTTGCTCCCAGCCAAGCTGTAGGCTGATTACGTTTGATCATTGATTGATGAAGTGATGCATGTCATTTTTTTTTTTTGTTAGTTCCACTCCAACTTTCAAATATCATTTACAGATTTAAAGTTTGAGTGTCTCAGAAAATCTTACTTACATAAAAGAAAAATCCAAAATATTACTAAAGTAAAAAAAAAAAAAAAAAAAAAAAAGTCAAATTTAACTGTGAACATACTAAAAAAACCATCATGAACCTTACCAAAAAGCAACTTAAAACATTTTGGTTGAAAGTTGGTAATTGTATAATTTTAAATATTTTCTTTCACATTTGACATAAAAAAACATCTACACTGAATATCTACTTGAAAAAAAAAAAAAAAAAAAAAAAATGTATTTGTAATTTTCCATTGTAATCCTGAAATTCCTCTAATAAGGGATTTTTCTATTAAATGAACATATGTTTTAAGATTTGAAAAATGTAAAGTTTAATAGCATTTGACTGTTAGTATTAGAAGGCTACTGTGGTTATGGCAACAGGGGTGGGTGGGGGGGTACCGTGTGTAAATAAACATTATTTTCATTGTTTTAAGCAAAATATTTTACAAAATTCACTCAGTTATTCCTTAATTTCACTGACTTTTTAAAATTTATTTTCATTTGTTGTTACGGATGGAAATTCAATGAGTGACTGACAATGTATTAAAAATGTCTTAAAGTTAAAACCTTATTTAAATATGTAAAATCGTTTTCTATTTTTATTTATTTTACAAATTAGCTTTAAAAAAAAAAAAAAAAAAAAAAAAAAAAAAAAAAAGAGAGAAATTAAAATTATCTAAAATGCATTTTAAAATTTTCTTCAGTAAGCTTGTAGTGATACTTTATAATAAATGACCATTAAAAATTCTATTTTAATTTTTTTATGGACAAACAATAATGAGCACTATTCAAAGAATTAAAAATATATCCAGTTTATTTTTATTATTTCAGTTAAATTTGTTTTTAAGAAAAAAAATATCTGGAGGCAACAGCAACTCAAGTTGACACTTTCAACAAAATGAAATCAAACGGCAACTCAAATTTATTTTTTAAAATAAGTAATTGCTTTATACAGTTTTAAAATGCATCATGAGAAAAAGATTTAAACTATAATATTTATCAATGAAACAAGTGATTTAAAATGAGGTTCAGCTGCTCATCCACTTTATCAGCAATACAAATTTGGATGCATCAGGCCTGATTGTTTTGCAGAAAATGAATGCAGTATACCCTCTTTAATTCATGCACACTTCAAGTTCTGTTCAGACAGAGATACAAAACCAACTGATTATTAAAGATGAGACATTGATCTACAAGGAGGGGTAAATTTTATTTATTAAAGTGCTGAATTTCTCTGATGTTGCACCCATTAAATTTCTCAACCTGGAATTTTTTTTTATGAAAGCCAAACCTTATAGCACGCCCATCAAACTGAAGACTTTTTTTTTTAAATCTTCTTTAAGATGGGACTATTTTGTTATATGTGAACAGAAACCATTCAGAGCACATATAATTTGAAAAACAACACTATAAAATCCATCAATGAGAGAGATAGAGAAGAGGAAAAAAAAAACAAAAAAAACAAACACTCTTAATCATTGAAAGTGACAATCTAAACAGACATGAATAAAATTATTCATCTCACATGCGAGAGAGAGAAAGAGAGAGAGAATTACATCTTTAGAAAGAGAAAAGATTAAATTTTGTTACAAACTAATTTTGTCAAGATTAGCTTAAAAAAATAAACGAGATATCAGTGGTTGAAATGGAAGGGAATTTCATTACCTTCACATGTGTTCACACTGCAAACATTTTGGGATACCTACTAAGAATGCCAATGGTCTGGGCAAAACTTCAGTGGCTTTCCTTAAGAATATCAACCCAGGGTTAATTCCAATCCTGGGATGACTGCTTGAAGGAAGAAATGCTTCTTAAGTCTATGGAAAGCGTCAACTGTGTGCAACGTCACTGCTCTATCACTATTTCCATGTCATGTGTTCCATGTCAAGCTACATTCCTTAGTCCCACTCACCCACTGACCTTTACAACTGGGACCTGCCCTGCCATGTACACAAGCATGAATTATCCCCATTCTCGTTGCATTTTATTAATAGGAAGCGAGTTATAGTCAAACAGCTTCTTTCCAAGAACTGCTACATTCTGCTGCAGGATGTTTTCCCCAATCACTACAATCTTGACCTCTTCAAGTCTAGGGTTAACCATTATCTTTCTTGCATAACCCCATGAACTTCAATTTTTGCCTTTTCTTATGCTCATACAACAACTCAATACCCCTCTACCTTGAGTGGCTCTTGGGTATGAATCCCCCGCCTCTCTCTCACACAAACACGAGCAGGCAGGTTTGGTAAACCACCTAAAGCCAGGTGAACAGAGAAATTAAACACCTTACAAAGAAGTTTTGCCATCATACCTAGTCCTATATATGACTTGGTATTTGTTTGTCAACTGGTCACTTGACCAGACATTTCAAAATACACAAACATGTATTTCATAAAGTGACCACAAAAGATGGACAGTCCAAGTGATACACCTGCAAATGATCATGCAAGAGAGGCTGGACTGAAGTGGCATATGTGCACATTGTAGTGCCATGATCAATGAAGAAAGGACATTCTTCGACAAGAGGGTGCGGTCATATCACCCACTTTTGATATCCATTAATACTGATCGAAGTGGAGAGACCAATGGGTATGAAAAGTAGAGGAGAAAAAAAAAAAAAAAGGAGAGAGAGAGAGAGATGATCCTTACGTTTGAAAAGCTATTTTGGCAGTTTCCAGAATTTCATTCAGCCAAATAAAATCTTCTTCAAATGATTCCAATGCTTCCTTTGTGAAATACTCAATCTGCTTCACTAAATCCAACCCCAATGTATGTGGGATTGCTTTATCCATGGTTAAAATGTTTCCCCCCCTTTTTTCTTTTCACTTTTATTCTTCTGTTTAGCTGCTGCCAAAATCCAAAGAGATTTTCCTCTTCTCCCAATCTGAAAGAGACAGAAAATTGTTAAATAACCAAGACGATATAAATAATAAACAGGGCTTATAACTGACAACAGTGTGATCCAGTCATAGTTACAAAGCAAAGAAAACTGATTACATAAACCAATGTAAAGTTTTTATTAAATTGTAAAATAAATAATTACATCACTTCTTTATTTGGAATTTACATAAGGTTTCTTCCACAAATATGCACATTTTATTCCCAACCAATCAACACTATAGATTAGTTTTTTCTTTTTCCGGCTTGTAGATCATTTTAACTGCAACAGTCAATCCATGTGACAAAGGAATCGGTTCATGTCCAGAAAAAACTCTTAACAGGTTTACTTTAAAAACTGTAAGCAGAGAAACTTATTTGAAGGAATGAAGACTGAAATACAGATTATTTCCAGAACTGCCAGGAATAATCCAATGGGGAGGGGGTGGGGGGTTTACATCACCTGAAGATCCAGAGAGAGAGAGAGAGAGAAAAAAAAAAAAAAAAACAGAAAGCCAAGAGTTATAATTAATTTGGTTAGGTTTGGAGTGAGCAAACCAGAAAGAAAGTGAGAAAGAAAAACAGGCTTTACACTCCTTCCTAGCATTTTGAACAGAATTAGAGATTTATCCCTGGTTCCCTGTTTAGGGTTGGGTTTCCAGGTCCTTCTGAAGTTAGCTTCAGCTTTATATTCCTAATGCTTGTTCTTTCCTAGGCTAATACAACACCGCACAGTAACAATCAAGTGGCTCTTGGACGAACATTAGTATTAAAAAAAGCAAAAAGGTTTAAGAAAGCAACCACAGTCTAATCACTATCCCAAGTCAAGTTTTGTATTGCTTGTGTAAAGAATGTTGAGCAAAGCATAAACTCAGAAATAGCAAATCATGCAAATGTACAAACTCACTGGAATCATTACATTTTTGTGTTTACAAAATCCAATATTCAAATGGTAAAATATACTGCAGAAGTTAATGCAACTGCATTTACTGCTTATACATCAGCTATAGAGTATATCACAATGATTTTTGCACACAAATATCTATAGGGGTCATATCACGCTATCTTCTTTAGCAATGACAAAACTGAGATAATGTACAAAAGGACAGGTAGAGAGAAAATCCAAAGACAGTGTGTATTCTCGATTATGTCATCTGAAAGAGAGAGAGAGAACTTCTCCCTTGAGTCGATTTTAGTTCCCCTCATACACTACAAAACTGTTAATTTCTTTTTTTTCACCATTTAATCCTCTTGTAGAACGAGCATGTAGTGGTTACTGGCACATGAAATAGAATCAAATATCCTTGGAAAAGTATGAAATCCAGGGGGTTAATAGCCAGCCAGACTGAACTCCCTAGCCTTGTTTAGCAACCAGTCTAGGAGGTAGTGAACTCCAAATTCAAAATCAGTTGCGTATGGAGATAACAATGCCTCACTAAAAATCTACTTCTGACACAGAAACAGCAACAACTAGTGTGGTGAGGATGTGTCATTCCATTACTCACAACAGTAACACGGAGAGTCTTTCTTACATTACCTCCTATATAGATGCATGCATAAATTCCCTTCTATGTATTGTAGACAATGAACGGAATGATGAAGAGAGTTCATTTTATTAGATTTAAAACTGTATTTTTTAAAATCCATTTTTAAAGTGAAAGTCTACTGAATTTCAGACTTAATTTAAGAGATTTTTAACATTATTTTAAACATTATTTTAAATAATACACTGTCTCTGTAATACTACTAAAAACTAAGATAGTAAACACAAAGTGCCAGATCGGATGAAGAAAAAATTTAAAATGATGCCCACTCGTTGGTTTCCGTAGAGCCGAATTCATAAGACGCTGCCCACATCAAGCTCTCAAAAATCGAAGATTATTTTTCCAATACAAGTCGCTTAACCGTAAATTTACCCAAAATAGATATAGATTCGTGCTTTGTGATTTTAAAAATTTAAAATAAAACTGAATTTCAAAAGTTAACGAAAAAAAAAAAAAAAGTGTAGGAATATTTTTTTTTTTAAATAATTATTTTAAGTCAATATTTTCCGGTTAGAAGGGATGATAACGAAAGCGACATTTAAAAAACAAAAATGCTTCAGCTTATTAAGTATTTAAAAAAAAGCGTAAAAAGTAAAATATTTTCTATAAAAAGACACAGATATGGTTCATATTACTTTGAAAGTTTAAAGAAAAAAAAAACTTTAAGGGGGGGGGGCATCAGCGAAGAAGTTGATCATTCGGGTCAGTTAACGTAATTTTTAAACTAAGCAAAACTAAGTCAATAAGACTTCAGTGGGTATTGTTTTTAAACGACAAAGAAAATTACATGACACAAACCCCATTTTTATACATTAAATAAACAATGCACTTTATTTTTATCAATTCTCATGGAATGCTATCATAATTATTTTTAAGATGTCCAAAAAAAAAAAAAAAAAATAATGAATGGGTCATTGAAAAAGTTTGCATGCCAAATAAAAAAAGACAACACAAATTAATAATATTAATTAGCACGATTTAGTAAATGCAGTTAACAGCAAAATATATTTTCTAGATGTTCTCAAATAAGCAAAACAAGTTTATATACACAACCAAATAAAACAAAGAGGAATTTGAAAACAAATCGTGACGATGGAGCAAAGAAAAAAAAATTAACGTTTTTAAAACTAAAACAGGAAGCCACGAGAGATAAAAAATCAATGGTTTTAAAACACTAAAAATAAAGTAAAAATCTTTCAACAGCAAAATATCTCGACATTTTCATAAATAATAAGATTACACATAGATCAAAAACTAATTTACTGACTTTGTCACTTATTTTTTTAATATGACATATCGATGGATTCAGTTTTAAACTTAACGAAATTTTGGTTTGTAATAATGGACATAACAGCCATCTAACAAGAGATACTTCAATTAACGCAAGTTATGCACGAATCTCCTAAAATCTGATCGTAATTAAAAAACAAAACAAAAAAAAACACATAAATAGATAAATCAAAGGAAATTCTAACATATTTCATGAAATAAAATAAACTCACCAGATATCAACTACCGCCATCTTCTTTAGCGGCTTTGATAAGGATTTTTAAATTTTGTGCCTTGATACCAATCAACCAATCAGAAAGCAGTATTACAATAAGACACACATTTTTTAGCCTTTGCTTCGTATGAACCTAGATCAAGCCAAGGAAAAAGCATATATTTTAAAATATTGAAAGTTAAGTAGTTATGTTTGCAAAAAAATAAAAATTATGATATTTTTGCATTTTAGAAAGTTTCTTTATTTAATAATTAATTAACTTTTTTGCACAGTAAGAAGTGTTTTTATAATGAGACGAAAAGTCGTTGCAGAATTACTTAGTTGCATGGCCGATGATGGTACTTTTAAGGTCGATAAGAGATATCTTGTTTTATTTAATTTTTACTTATAGTCAATCAGTAGTTTGTTTAGATTTATTTTTATAGTAATTCTCAATTTTAATTCAGAATTTAGTTTGTATTTTTTATTAGTAAAGAAATAACTTGACTGATGAATTTTTAATCGTAACCTTAAAAACACGAAGCTATCGAACCTTAGAGCAGTTTTTTTGGTAGCGAGATTTTCAAACAAGTGAAAAAAAAAGAGCGAGGAACAATGATAAGACACACTTGACTTGCGGCATGTTATAAGCCAAGACTGCTGACGCTGAGGAATGAATACGAAAAAAAGTAATCCAGTTTGAATATAGTTCATGTTCAATCACAATGACATTGTCTAATTCAAATTTATTAAACAATTTATTCATTTGGAAGTTTTGAATCATTATTTGTAAGAATAAAATTAAAAAAAAACAAACAAACATAAAGAACCAACAATTCTAATGCCGGCATTTCGGATTCGACAATAATGTACTTTTATTTAGATTGAAAGTCAGCGGATTGTATGGCAACACATAAGCGATATAATTTCTTTGTAAAAACCGGATGGACAAGAAAGTTAACGACAGCAATGTTTTAAAATACCATAGCATTATATATGTTTTCTATCTAAAAAAGAAAATAACTAAGTGATCAAAAAATTAAAGCTCAAAGAAAGTAAAGAGAAATAGTTTTATTTTTTACCTCCAGTTATTTTCAAATCGTGAGCATGCTTCAACAAGTTAGGCAAAATTGTGTGTAAAGTTTAGCCTTTTTACACTGTTTTAGCAAATATTTTTGTATTCCAGTCTAACTGGAAAATATTTTTCACTACAGTTGTGCGTCGTAAAAGTAAGTGTTGGGAATAATATACTTTTTTTTGTTTTGACATTGTAGGCAAGAGCAAGATTTGCTCATTCACACTTGAGTTGTCACATGAAACGATCAATTTTATTTTTATTTAAGCGAGCTTTCACTACATATTTTAAAAGTAAGTTACTTCAGTTCAAAAGCCAAGAGGGTATTTTTTTTAATCAGTTTTTAAAACTGATTAAAAAAAATACCTTCTTGGCTTTTGAACTGAACTGACAACTAGCAGATACCCATTGCAGACAAATATTTTAAGTAAAAAAAGTAATATTTGTTCGTGATCGAGTTAAGTAATTACTAAATTAATTCATTTAATGAAATTTTATAACGGTTACTTTATTTTGGGAAGATTTTAATTACATAGTTGAAAATCTTCTGTTGGTCGACATCGTTTATAATGTACTAGCAGTAGAGCCCGGCGTTGCCCGGGGATGTAACAGTAAGAGATAGATCAAGTATCGACCATCATAAAGACTGAAAAATAAAATTGACAAAGATTATTGTTTAAGGTTGACAGACAGGCATGTCTTAATTAGTCTTTTTTTTTTTTTTTTTTTTTTTTAACGAATTGGTCAAACAAAAACATTGTTTTCAATCGTTATGAGTCTACCGATTGAATAGAATTTTATTATAAACAATTG